TGATGATGATGATGATGCACCTCTTCGCCGGTCGGTCTTCGCCTAAACCCCTTCCACACCCATAGAACGATGCATTGAGATCCGCCCAACTGCCAATCCCCTAACCATTGTTCTCTAAACCTTCTGATGATGATGATGATGCACCTCTTCGCTTACCGGTCTTCGCCTAAACCCCTTCCACACCCATAGAACGATGCATTGAGATCCGCCCAACTGCCAATCCCCTAACCATTGTTCCGCGTCTAAACCTTCGCCCACAAAAACGAACCGAAATATACACTTAATAACTACTAAGGATTTGATCCACGTTTCAACCGTACTATGTTAAATTGGGCAACAGGTATCCCTTGCTGAAACCTTGCTTTCCCTATCTATCGATATATGTTGTGTCTCCGAAACACGCATACAAGACCCCACTTCGTTCGTTCTCCTCAAGCCGGTTAGGACAAGCTCAAGTGTTACACATTTCACACTTTGGGTATCCTGTGATCCTGACGCAATGGCTGGTGGTATCTGCGGTGAGGGAGTTGCATTGAGCCCTAGGGCTGGAAGCGCAGTGCTGGAGAGGGTCCCAGTAAACAATCGCTTTTTCGCTGTGCGGTTATCTGGCTCAACTGAGATCAATGCAGATCGGTGCCGTAAATGGTGTTTGTTTGCCGTATCAGCAGTTCTTGGACTAAGAAGGACGAGTTTTACCATGATCTGTCGCCACTATTCCTGGCCAGTAAAAACTTGCAGCAGAAACGCTCACATCGAGTTAGTTGGAGGCCACCAACCGCAAGACAGTCACGGACTCGAATTGGCCATATGGCTATCAATTACCGACAGAGAGCCAGTATGAAACATAGTACTTTCTTTTGGGGTAGATAAATTGGTTCTGATGTTGTTGCGATCGTCAAAGCATTCCATTCATCAACTTCGACCAGTTTCAGTAGCTCAGAATTATCGAGCTGATCTGGCTAGAAAGTTACTCCAAGCGCAGAGTCATGCGAAGGACAACGATCGCATGAAGGTTGAATGCAGTCCAATTGAAAAGCTATGCTCTTAGTTTTCAGAATTTTGTCCAAGCCATCTAACTCGACCAAATGAATACTAGATATCGTCCAGACCAGCAGGTCTTATTGCCACCAGAAGGGATATTCCAATTGAAAAGCTATGCTCTTAGTTTTCAGAATTTTGTCCAAGCCATCTAACTCGACCAAATGAATACTAGATATCGTCCAGACCAGCAGGTCTTATTGCAGAAAGAAGGGATATTCCAGCAACTAGCGACTGTGATGGCACACGCAGATCCCTCAGAAATAGGATAATCAGGAGCTTGAAGAATGATAGAGAACGCTGATGGATTTCGAAGATGAAGAGGGTTTTCGCTGCGAGCAGTAGCCGCGCCCTATTTCAACCATTTCGGTCAACCGGTCAAAAGGCAGGTATCAGTGAAAAATATGTGAAAAAGACGGAACGGCGATTCACTCCCTCAATCGTCGTCCTAAGCGGTGTGCTAATAACTTCAAAGAATAGTTTAGTCGGTCCCCTTCAACACAACTGCTGGAATAACCCAGCGGGCTTGAATGAAGCATCGACAGTAACCCACCACCAGCAACTGAAATCCGGCGCTAGATATCAATCCCCAAGCGTGACAGTGTACATGCACCCCGCACTCTTCAAAGGAAGTGGCGCAGTTCTAATGGAGTCTGACAACCGTAATGCAGATTTCGAAAGAAAACAGAATACCAGCCGAATGGAGCTGAGACGTTTTGCATCCGCTCTATTGACAGAAGTTCCTGATTGCAATAAGTATTCACACGATAATGAGCGAGTGGACTGGACTGAAAGTGGCCTAGATTCCAAGGCATTCGATCACAATCGTTTTTTGAGCTCTGAACTAGAATTTCAGAAAAATTACGGGGTATTTTCTGAATTATCTTTTTTTAGGTGAACATTTCCGATCAGCAAAGCGCAATAATTGCGAGCACTGCGCGCAACTAACCTTTTCCGATCTCAAATGGAAAAACTCAATATAAGGAAACACTGTTAGAAATACAAAACGCCCCTCCAACAGAGGGTATTCCTTCCTTAGCTGGACAACACCACTGCGTAACCGTACGCTGGTCAATCGGTGGTATTGTGAGACAAAAGGTTTGACAGAACACGGATGTATAGGAGAAGTCGTCATCATCATCTTCATGGACAGAACACCAGTAATTAACACTGATGCACTTATGCCGTACAATCGAAAGTATCCTTTCATACAGGCTGCGCAGCAGCCAGAATCCTCCCTGCAAGATATATACATTCGAATCTTTGCACATCACTGAGGGTTTAAAAAACTTATGGAAGCTCCATCACTGTTGAGCAGCCAAGCATTACCGTAAACGGTGCCTACCAAAAGAAATCATCAGTTACCTCTTCGGTAGGATGATCCTATCTTCTAGAAGAGATTTGACTACGTCTTTTGGCAAGGGAAGTATGACACTGAAAGGAAGCAAAGTATTTCTTACAAAGTAAGCGTACCTTTCTTCAGTGACATCCTTGAACAAATCGTACCAGTAATCAAACGCACAAGACTTGACATCATTAATTTGCATCGTGGACCAAGGCTAAATCTGAAAAGTAAGAAAATCCGACGGTAAAATGAATTATCTGCAGCGTGTACGAGAAGTACACTGAGTAGCTGTTGAGCAGACGACCTTTCATGTGATAGGAATCGCCCCATAAATAGTGGAGCAAAATAAAAAACGCTAGAAAGTGGTGCGCATTTTATAAATAGAAAAGCATAATGCAGCACCCACCACAAGCAAATACCAACAAATTTCCTGCACCGAGTGTTGTTTTTGTGTCGTGCCGTATCTTGCTCCGCTCAGCTATAGTTACATCCAGAGTGAATTAGTTTACTTCTGTGTTTATCCATGAAGCCCGATAAATAGCAGTGGGCCTAAATGCTCAGCAACTTACAAATTTAAACACTGTAGAGAGAATACAGAATTCCCATTCCCGAGTAGTAGAGAAGAAGTTAACGTAACGTAAGGCGAAGTACTACATAGCATGGAAGCTATGGCAAGAATAAGGAGTATGTAGGCCAAGGTTGTCATTTTAGGCCACGTCGGTAAGCGTCGTCAAACACGCATGGTTATCGATTCTTGGAGCCGACCTGCGGAGGCTGGATGGACCGAATGAGTTTCACAGTCAAGTGCCAAATTATGGTTTGATCACCTGTAAATCCAGGTGTGCAAGACGGTGCACAACGTGGGCGAAGCGTGATCCTAACCATCGATGTTTGTTGTGCGCAAGCTGCCCTGCACCAAACAGATGTGATGGTTTGTGCACCTCCAGAAACAACTGAGTTACACTTGGAAGTGCACGTGTGACAAGCACCGAGCCTTTGAAACAAAGTTGGTCAACTGATATGGGTTTGATTAGGAAAGCCGCCTGGTTCTTCAAGGTGGGGCTGAAACAAACGGTACAGCTTGCTGCTTACGACTAGCTCTGACGATCTTATGTAAACCACTGCAGTCCTGCAGTTTAACTTTTCACGAAAAGTCTTCGCCTGCATCATCATCATCATCTTCGCCTGAGGACCTAATCGTCCTCCTGTCCAGAAGTGAGTGCCCTGGCGGTACCTCAGATCAAGTATAACAATGATTCCTACAACTAAATCTACTGTAATGCAACATCGGCCGTCCAGGCGCCTTACTTGCCAATAAACAATGCCGGGTAAGCGAAAACAGACTGCTGCTGATGCCTCCACTCTTTTACTTTCATATGCTCTTTCTACTTCAACTTCTCACCCTGCGACCAATAACATCTCAGAAAGCCCACTCCTAGAGACTGACAAATTCGTGCGCTGAACAGTGTCATTAGCTGCAACGTATACAGATAGCTGGACCGCAACGGTTGCATACATCATCAGCACCGACGGCATAAAACCAGGATTCAACACTGATCAACTGCTCAACGCTGATAACAGGAACGCCTCTGGCATCAATTTACAGCCATATCCTGCTCCTCCAACAAGGCACATTGCGGATCACGCTGCCCCATTCTGGATGGCGAGTCGTACCGACAGCATCTCTTTCATACCACGTGCCAATTCAAAGCATGGTCACCACTCCGCTTGCGCCACTTTGAACTGGACACGGATAGCAGTGCTCTTCCGCAACGATGGTTCGGAANAGCTGGACACAGTCATCGGTGGAAGTCTCCATGGCACACCCGAACACACGCTTTCTAATTGCACCGATAAGGATTCATCGACAGCCACTCACATAAACTATGGTGCTGGGACGACGATTGTCGAACACCTGGAGGTGTCTCAGTTGTGCTGCTCGAACGGGCCAAGCCTGAGACATACAAAAACTTATTCGCCGTAGCCTGATACACAAATACCTCGATATTTTGGGATAATACAGGTGTCTCAAACTAGCAAACGCTTCCCGGGCCTTGCAGATTCGTGAACTGACCTCATCTCATACGCTACAGTCGGAACTGATACAACTTCCAAGATACGTAAAACGTCCCACAAGCTCGAGTGCATCTCCTTGGATTGTAAGTGGCGCGTCCAGCGATTGTATATCCCGGAGAATGACCTTACACTTCGTGGGTACAAAGTATTGCCAAAAGGTGGGATGACTTTGTTCAGTTCACCTAGAAAAACCTATGCCTCCTTCCGACCTAAAGCTGCCACCTTGACGTGGTGGTCGGACTTGAGTGCTGCAATGATCCCGCAGGCTACACTGGCTGGAACTTCGTTCCAAAAGGTACAACCATGCCAGGAAGGCCAAAGGGGAGCAGCCAGACCAAGAGCAGCGAGACCCCGCACTACGAGTAATCGTGGTACGAGGCGGTCTGGGGGTAAAGTCATACTGTCCCTGCGACAGGAGCGTGAAGGGA